ATTGATATGTCTTCATATATGGTTGCATTGATAAGTATCCGGAGTTTGTGGGTATGTTAAAATGAATTTTGAAGTGTTATAAAGTATCTATTCAAAGACATGGTGTAGATATTAATTACCACTTGTTCACAGTAAGTGAATGGTAAATGCAACACTTTCTAGATATGGACCTGACTCCCAGATCATATTACATATCGCTCATCCAATGGGACAATGACGGAACTGCGAAATTGTGTGTGGTTTCTCACAATTTAGCAGTTGCGATATGTAGTAGACAAACATGTCAGAACTCTCGCAGAAACTTAATACATCTGCAGAAATTTTGACTGAATTTGTATTTTGTTCTCGTTCGTGTGGATGAAGTTACGTCGTTGAAATGTCACTAGACTATATCCTCATTCGAGAAAATCAAAGCATCAGTTGATTGTGTATGTGAGTGTGAGAGTGTGTGAGTGTGAGAGTGTGTGAGTGTGAGAGAGTGTGTGAGTGTGTGAGTGTGTGAGAGTGTGTGAGTGTGTGAGTGTGTGAGAGTGTGTGAGTGTGTGAGTGTGTGAGTGTGTGAGTGTGTGAGTGTGTGAGTGTGTGAGTTGTGAGAGTGTGAGAGTGGTGAGAGTGTGAGAGTGTGAGAGTGTGAGAGTGTGAGAGTGGTGTGAGTGTGAGATGTGTGCAGAGTGTGAGAGTGTGAGAGTGTGAGAGTGGGTGTGAGTGTGAGAGTGTGTGAGTGTGAGAGTGGTGTGAGTGTGAGAGTGTGTGAGTGTGGTGTGAGGAGTGTGGTGAGTGTGGAGATGTGTTGAGTGTGAGAGTGTGTGAAGTGTGAAGAGTGTGAGAGAGTGTGAGTGTGAGAGTGTTGTGAGAGCTGTGGTGAGTGTGAGAGTGTGTGAGTGTGTGAGTGTGTGGTGTGTGGAGTGGTGATGGTGGAGAGTGGTGTGAGTGTGAGAGTGGTGTGAGTGTGGAGAGTGGTGTGAGTGTGTGAGTGCTGTGAGTGTGTGAGTGGTGGAGTGTGAGAGTGTGAGAAGTTGTGTGAGTGGTGAGAGTGTGTGAAGTGTGAGAGTGTGGTGAGTGGTGAGAGTGTGTGAGTGTGAGAGTGTGGTGAGTGTGTGAGTGTGAGAGTGTGAGAGTGTGAAAGAGTGTGTGGAGTGTGTGGAGTGTGTGAAGTGTGAGAGTGTGAGAGTGTTGAGAGTCGTGTGAGTGTGTGAGGTGGTGTGAGTGTGTGAGTGTGGTGAGTTGTGTGAGTGTGTGAGTGTGTGAGTGTGTGAGTTGTGTGAGTGTGTGAGTTGTGTGGGAGTGTGAGAGTGTGTGAGTGGTAAGGAGGTGTGTGAGTGTGGAGAGTGTCGAGAGTGTGTGAGTGTGAGAGTGTGAGCGTGTGTGAGGTGAGAGTGCTGTGAGTGGTGAAGAGTGTGTGAGCTGGTGAGAGTGGTGTGAGTGTAGAGTGTGTGAGTGTGAGAGTGCGGGTGTGAGAGTGTGTGAGTGTGAGGAGTGTGTGAGTGTGTGAGAGTGTGAGAGTGTGAGAGTGTGAGAGTGTGAGAGTGTGAGAGTGTGTGAGTATGAGAGTGTGTGAGTGTGTGGGTGTGTGAGTGTGAGAGTGTGAGAGTGTGGGAGTGTGAGAGTGTGAGTGTGAGTGTGTCTGTGTGAGTGTGTCTGTGTGTGTCTGTGTGATGTTAGTACAAGAAACTGTCCCGTTTTCTCCTGTAGAACATTGTCACATGTGCCTTCTATGGTATTCTGTGAAACTAACAGCAGGCAACTTACAGCGGGAATTTCAAATTTATAATACAGTAACGACATGAATCTACTTTTTACAATATTTCTCCGGTATTGCCAGGTTAAGGTGAAGAATTATTGTCTTTTAGATGTCAATTGGGTGGGGGACATTTCATTGTGGGTATAATTGGTTTTGTTCAGGTAGTTTTATTTTATTACAGTTTTAACAAAACATTTATTATGTTTAATGTGGAAATTAAACATCTGGCGAAATTGAATAAATTGGTTCAATATCTATCCTAAATACCTTAACATAAGAAGTTCCAAGATAAATGCGAAACTAATTGTTTAGAATACAATTTTACTAACAACGAATCGTATCTGATTCATCGAAAAAATAATCTTGCAGTTATTAATCCAAAATACAAGTATAAAATTATCATGCAGTTACCAGATGTTCAACATATGCGCCGTTGACAGCAAAAGTTGTATACGTCAAAAAACATACATTCCGGAAAATTAGATGTAAACGAAAAACGATGTAAAACTATAATGTTTCGACATACATGACCTAACGTGATAAGAAGTTTCTTTTAACTTACTACAGACCTTTTGGACTGAAACATTGCTTATTTATTAAATAATTAACTATTTTGTTGATTTGCACCACCTTTACTCATACCGTTTCTGAAAACTATGACTTACATTGAAGTAATTGGCATACATAATTTTCGTTTGCGATAGAAATGTGATTAAAAAATAGGTAAATAGAGTGCAGTTAATGCAAAGCATACAAGTAGACTTAAAATTTCCTTGAACCATTTCATGTAGTGTTCTTTCGAACTCAAAGGATGGTATTACATCGGTCGGTGGGAATATAATGAATTGTATTTTTGCCAGTTTCCTCTGTGTTCCCAAAATCGGAGTAATTTTTTTCATAAATGTATGCCCTGACACCCGGATATAAGAAATTTATGGTCAGTAATGTTTAAGTGATTGGCTTTTCATTTTATTTATTTAAGATCTCTTTTCAACAACTGGGTCCTAAGCGACCACGAGTATCAATTTAAACTTTCCACAACATTATACAACTTTTACAATTATTCCACTATACACTTACATACAATTCTAACCTCTTGTGAAGTGTCCTAAACACTATCCCACACCTAATTCCTTTCCTATTCTGGCCGCTGAGTAGTTACGCAGGGGCGCATAGTAGGAGGCGCGTTCGCGGAGGTGCTACTTGGCGGTCCTCTTGACAACTGACTGCGACGAGACGTGACGGATATGAAATGAAATGAATTAATGGAGAATTACTGCCGCGCTGGTATTAATGGAGCATACTTCGAGAGCGCAAATCGCTCAACGTCCGCTCCCCCCCCCCCCACACACACAGGGTTTAGAGACGCGTTGCACTATGGGATGAAAGTGCGCTATCTTTGGCCAAAAGTCATAACTCGGTATTTTGAAGAGCAAATCGCCTGAAATTTGGTACACATATTGACATAAAGGAGGTTATAAATTTGTCATATTACATGTTGCAAAATTTCAAAATGGCGGCTCACGTATATGTATACTGTCGTGAGGTGGGAAGAGATGGAAATTAAAAATTATCATGAAAACGTTTCTTATGAAGTTATTAATCTCTATTTTCATTTAACAAGATTTCATACTGTTGTGAAATAAATAGACATCATTCGCATTACTAATATTAAGAAATGTTTACTCTAATCACTGGAAAATATCTATTCCACAGCATCCTCATCAGATGCTTCAACAAGATCAGATATTTCCTCAATTGCTTTATGTGAATTTGATTCTGGTACAGAGCATATGAGAATTTCATTACTTAAAGCGAAAGTTCCTTTTTCTTATTATTTTGAACTCTTTTCTGGGGGCTGACAGTCGAAATGATGGGATCTGATGTTTCCAATGCTCTGTTTAAAATATCTGTTAAGTTGTAGATTCTGCTGTCTTTCCTTGCGTGAATCTCTCTTTAATTTTGTACAATCTATTTCTGGATTCTGAAGCTTCTTCTCCCAGGCATCCAAGTGGCAGAATACTATGCTGAAGTACGTGTTTCTCTTGTACAATAACTTTATGAGCACTTACAGGCATAGGGAATCAATCATGTGTACTTCAGCTGTCTCCGCACAATACTTGCTAAATAATTCAAAATCAATGCTGTATTGACAAGACATGGCTATTAGGAGGCTAAATCTCTTAATTAGGTCTTCATTAACACCATTAACTCCTGAAAAAACTGCAAGCTCTGAGAAGGCACATAGTGCAGTATTTCCGTCATTGTATGAGCCGTAACCATTATCTTTCACCTTATAAGCCTGGTCACATGTAAGCCTGGTCTGCATGTTGCTTTTGCTCTTTTTACTTTTTCGATCGATGGAAAAATATCTGCATTGTAGATTTTAGATAGTAGTCTTGTGTTTATATTCTGTTACTTGCTCAAATTGTTATCTTGCAAATGGGATAATGCCTCCTCATCGGATTATGTAACTGATAGTTTCTTGTTTTGGGAATTACATAATATTTTCGATGGTCTAGTTGGAGTTTCAGTGGCTTGGTCTAAAACAACAGCTAGATCTCTCTTCCCTGAAGGTCGATCCTATATGCTTGCAGCTTTTACCATTAAATTTTCCTGAAGGTCGTTTTCAAAAGACAATTTTGCATCCACTCTTCGTTTGGACCTCACAGATTTCTCATGGTAGGAACAAACAGGTCGCCCTTTCACAGATATGTCTTCATGTGATTCAGTCGATGTGATCTGTAGGCACACGAAATCCTCAGAAAGCCGTTCAGAAGTTTTTGATAAGAACGTTTTTAGAGTTCAGTGACCTTCCTGTCATCTATTAAGTTTGTGGCAAAATTATTTTGTTTTTATCTTCAAATCCTTTAAAAGGTCTTCATATATATTATTACCATAACATGCACTGATAATATAACCCAGAGCGGCACATTCTTGCGTCTCTTTTACCTCCACTGAATGCCACACAATGAATACGTCTGTTCCATTGATACGACACACACCAGAAAAGCCGCAAATTTCGTGTAAAGCGGCAAATAGCGGCAGCTAAAATTACGTAAAACACTATCTGCTTTAGTTGAATAATAATTTACAAATAGGTTCAGCGCAGCAAACCCCAACATATTAGTTATAAGTCAATGTAAACATTAACATAAACTAAAAAAACGCTAACACTTACAAGATATGTTTAAGGCACGAATATTACGCGATGTGAATAACTACATTTACTTTTTTTATTAGAAGTAATAAAGCTTACCTTCATTGCCAATATCCATACTACGACAACGATCCCAACACCAAAATACAGCTACAAGGTACAAAATACTTTGTACTTTCATATGTATCGCACTCCCAACTTGCTTACAGAAGTGCCAAATTCCAGCACATTGTACGTAAAACCAGGACAACCAAATTGAGTAATCATATTACCCAAGAAAACTAAAAGTAATAAGCACGAAGAAGAATACAGTCTTGTGTTAATCTTAGGTTGCCGGCCTAAGTGCTGGCTTCATCCATAGGTTAAGTTAGCAATAAGTTAGTAAGTAAGTTCTGCCCCCTTCTTTGTCGCATAAGCCGTAGAGCTGCTGCGAATGTTGTACCCCAACAAGAAAATAAACATCCCGCCTCGCCAGGGCTACTGGCGGGGGGAGAGTTGAAAAAAGAGTAATCATATCGATTCATGAGACTTTCATTATAATAGAATACTTATATTCATGTTAATTTATGATATGTTACAACTTATGTTTTGACTTTTGGTCAAGAATTTGTCCATTTCATCCCAATGTGCGTTGTGTCAACTAAAAGACGCAACAAATTAAAAAAACAAATAACTTACAGAAACCTATGTCCGCGAAAGTTTCTCCATAAGACCCTGTACTAATTTAAACTTCTTTTATTAAAAAATGAAGCGGCTAAATTTTTGTTACCGTCTTGAAGAACATTTTAGTTTCATTTAAAGTATTTTTGGGAGGTACTTCACTGTTGTCGATTTAACGAACATACAACCTTAAAGTATAATTTTCCTACGCTTCGCTTACGCAGTGTCCATATATAACTAGTCGTACTACAGAATGGCACAGACTTTCCCGTATTAGTTTTCCATTTCCTTTGGTCTCGGCTAGCTATACGAACTTGCCGCATACTCTTGCGAGCTACCATCTATCGCCGCCCAAAGTACTCGTACATTTTTTTGACATTTTCTTAGTTTTTCGGTTTTCTAATTGTAGAGCGGAAATATTATTTTAAGATTATCAAAGAAGAGTAAAACCTCGTCCTAAATAGCATTTTTCTTTGAAACATTATTAACCGTATTTAAAAAACTGGCTACTGTAAATTCGAAATTTAAAGCTCTTTTTCACGGAAAATGTTTGAGATATCATAAAACTTCATTTAAAGTAATTTTAGTACTTTAATTCACAAATACATTCGTGTTTACAAATTGCTGGAAATGTGCACATCCACTACGCGAGAGATCTTTCAAAATATTTACATTTGTGTAATCTTTTAATAAAAAATACACCGAAGTGAACTTTACGTCATATTAAAGATGAGTGCAATTACCACTATCCGTTAGAAATGTTTGAAGAAAAAACTTTGGAGCCCTTTTTGAGAAAATGACATTTGAGTGTTTCTGAAAATGCGAAATTTTGAGCTAATTTTCACAGAAAACCGTAGTTTTCCAGAAACTTTACATGACATTATTTAAAGCATATGTACTCATAAATACAATAATGTGAACAAATTGTCGCTAATATAAATATTAACGACATGAGAAACAAGTCAAAAAGTTACATTTTTGTAATTTTATGAAAAAAACAAAACAAGACTAGAGCAATATGGCGTTTATTTCATCTTATAGAGTACATTTAGGACTATCCCTACCAAAAGTTTAAATTTGGAGCCGTTTTTGAGAAAATCTGGTTTGGGTATTTTTTTAATATTGCTCATATTTCACGCAATATTGGACGAAGACAACTCAAATTTTAAAAAAATGTACATGATCTAAATGAAAGAACTCACTATAGAGAAAAAAAAATATTTTAAAGAAAAATCTCCGAAATTAATAAACTGTTATGCACATAAACGTTAAAACATGAGGAAAGTGTTGCATTTTGAAAAACTACCCCATCCCTCCCCATCATTCGCCCATATTCCGAAATCGGTGAGTAAATCCACCAAAGTGAAACAGACTGTTTCTGATAGCCCATAAAATTTTCTTCTAAACGCAGTTTAATAGATTCCATAATACAATAATACTTTGAGTAATTGAAGATCAAATTTGTGACTGGACGTATGCAGGGAGAATGCAACAATATACGTTTTGACAGCTGCCCATACAAGAAAGTGTGGTAGCAGCGATGATCGGAGCAAACAAAGCAGTGCGGGCGGGCAGAACAGTTCAGGTGAGTCAGAGTGAAGTGGGTGGGGAAGGAAGGGGAAGGGTGGACCTGGGCAGGTAGTTAAGTTAGGAAAAAATAGTTTTAAATTTCGAGGAGGGAGGAGAGTTATCCTCTAAACCCCTCCGTTATACACAACTGAATGGAGCTAACACGCAGACAATTCTGAAAACTTCGAAGAATGGCCTCTAACATTGCTGCTAGTGCGAGTGAGTACAACGTCACAATAAAAATTCACAAGAACACGGAATGCCAAGCCAGGCAGGGGGGAGATTGGATACGATTATGGATTTTTGTGGAGGTAATCGCATTTAGATCTTTAACTTTTTCACAATATTTACAAAAGTAACACGACGCAATTTTTTCTTTTCCCATAAAAAAATATTTCAATGTATATCTTTCGAATCGACAAGAATCCCGCCCGGTTCTCGGAAGGAGAACAATGCTAGATTGGATTTGAGTGTCGGTGTACATAGTAGTGACTTATGTACATATCGGCAAAAGTGTACTTGAAACTTAAATTATATATTAAATAATAATAATAATAATAATAATAATAATAATAATAATAGTTTTTATGTCCTCTAGATGTCCTTAAGAATGAAGCCGGAAGGTTAATTGCGAGGCGGAGCGATAGCGAAGCCGAGTAGTTAACCTACCAAATGAATTACATATTATGTTACATACAGGACGAGTTAACTACAATGTTTTTTGTAATTTCTACTTTATAGCTTATTCCAAATAAACTTTTATCCCTTTCATGAGTTAAGAATTGTCATTACTCTCGATTTTCTATAGCAAGGGTACTGGATGATTTGTTAGTGATCAAACAGTTAAATGCTTTTTCTGCTAATGCAAGACGATTGAGAAAAAAATTTCTTAGAATTTCGAAGTATCAGAAGATATTTTCGTGCCAGATGATATTCTAGGGGAAGCAGAAACTTTAGTGTGAAGCCTCCTAAATCTGTAACCACTTATGAGAAAGCTTAGAATATATTTTGTTATTGGCGAATGAAAAGGAATGTTCGAGGCTATAACGAAGAGATAACACTAGTATACTACTTTTAATATATATGTACCAAAATAATTGTAAAAATAAATTTTGTTTACATTTATTCCCAAAAATTGTGTTTTATTCCCAAAAAACGTTATATTATCCCAAGATTAGATAAAATCTAAACCCGAAAGTCCGCTAAAATATTTTTAATGGACTCTGCAGCATTTTAATACTTGTTGTGGACGCGCTCTTAAAGTGTTGTTTAGATAGTTGGTTATTAAAGGGATAAATGCGTGTTTATCAACGTAAATAACAAAAATTTAAAAAATCTTTCCGTAACTTAAAGTGCATAAAAATAAATTATTTTCTAATTATAAATTTATTTAATTCTATAATTTCGAGGGAGTTCATCCTCCCAACCCAAAACAAATCTACACGACTGGTGTTTTGTAATAATTTCAAAATTTAAACTTGTGTGCCGTTTCGTCACTTGAACGACCTTGTACACATTTTCGTGACTGTCCTCGTACCTTCTTGAGATTTTCTTATGTACCTTGCATCACGCTAAAGAATAACAATCATTAATGTGACGACAGATATTCAATGTCCCTTTAAACGTGAACATACAATGGCAGGTGGCAGGTCTTGCGTGAGCAGTGTATTAAGTATGACGTTCTTACAGCAGATTCAGCGCAACGACAACTGTTTGCATGATAAGAAGTAATGAACATATAAAAGGATCTCATCTTATGTAATACACTTGATCGCTGAGTAGCGTGACACACCATTGTTAGGAGTATGCAATGTTTTATAAAGACCAATTGTCACAATTGTTGTGCCACATGGGAACAAACGACACAATCATCGGCAAGCTCGGACTGTCCCGCCCACGCACGCGCGGGGTCGTTCACAAAAGCCTCCGAACTGCTTTCCGCGTGAGAGTGAAGCGTGTCCTCGAAACGACAACGTCCTTAAAATACGGTGCTTATGTAGCCCTGATCCCTTAGAACACTTACTTAGATTCGAAGAGTTATGGTGTCACTGTGATCACTGTCCTGCTGCTTTTGTAGATGAATCTAATAGCCAAGAACTTCTTCTTCTTTGATCCTATCTTCCATATACGGAAGTAAACGGGTTTTCTTGGGATAAATTATTCAGGGTGGTTTCCCGTTGCCTTCCTTAATATGATGATGATGATGATGATGATGATGACAGGGGGTGAAAGGACGAACACAATACAACCATGCCCGAGGCGGGACTCGAACCCGCGATCTTTCGCTACCGAATCGGCTAGTTAAGAACTACCATACTCTAAATTCGCTAATAGAAGAATTGAATAAATAATGATAGAATTGAAATTTTAGTATGAAGTTCGGTTATTTGAAAACATTTAAAGCTAGTGGGGCTACAATAGCATATAATGTCACGCATTATTTCTACCTTTTTAAATTCCTGAAAATTCAGAGAGTTCAACGAAAAGACGAATTGCGCCATTCTTTCAAGAGTAACTTCTATCCTTGGAAAAAATTGGAGCAATTTTTATGAAAAAAACTTTTTTATAAATTACATTAACTTCAAATAGAAATTACGCAAAAATTACTCTATTTTTCAAAAAAAGTTATTATTTTTAACAGTATTTTTCAAGAGCCAAAATATCTATGTTTCATATTATACTGCTGGAATGCTTCTTACGAAGTAAGACGAGAAAGTAAAAAAAAGATATGTGTTAAAGATTTTTTTACTTCCTCACCTTACTTCGTAAAAAGTGAAAAAGGGCAAGAAAGTAAAATTTGTATTCCTGCGCCGGAAATCGGCGTTTTTTCAATAGAAAAGCTCTTATTGCCGGGCCCTGGTAACAAAAAAGTGGATAAATCTTGAATCAACATGCAGTAAATTACTTCCTCTTACACATTG